GGGGCTGCCGAGCCCCGGTGCTGTGCGGGGCAGCCGCCTGCCGAGCGTTGCGCCCCGGGCGCGCCCAGGTCAGCCGTGAAGCGGGTTGTGGGCTGTTTAGCTTTTGCTTCTAAACCTTGGGTTTGGATTCATACCGCTTATCCATTATAGAATTGCGCTAAGGGATGGGGAGATAAGCAAAGTAAAAACGGTCGTAGCGATCCGTAAAAGCCCTTTGGTAGTATCATCCAGAAATACTTTCCGCTTTTTTTCCTTGCAGATTAATTTAACTTAAGTTAACTTCTGGTAACTTCTCAAGTTGCTTCATAACGAAGTCAGGGAGCCTGGCAGTGTCAGCGGCGATGCCCCGTCCCCGGAGCAGCCGTGAGAGCAGCCAGGGTCACCTCCCTCACCTGGGCAGCCAGCGGTGTTAGCCCTCGCAGCGGGCTGGAGCCTTCCCTGTCACCGCTAGTTGTTGCCATTTATAGCACATTAAGCATGAATTTTTGAAAGATCTGAGTTTGGCCCGCTGTGGAAATAAGTTATTTTGTTTTCCGTCTTGCGCGTGCGTATTCGTGGCCAGTGCGCTCTGGAGAACAGCATCTCCCACCAATTCTGGCCATAGTAAAACAGAAACTGATGGTGTCAAGATGGGAAAAGTTATGGTATATGGAAAAAATTTAATGTTGCTTTGGTACAGAGTTGTCTGGAAAAATATTTGAGTCTCCACAATAGCTTTCTCCTGCAGTTTTACTCTGTTCTGAAGTAAGTGATTCTGTACCAATTTTTTTTCCTGAATTTAATTAATGAAAAATAAGTCTGTTGTTACACTAATTTGCTGGTACATTAGAACAGCTCGTTTTAATCATGTGCTTCAAGTTTATTTCTTACGCAGCTTTCCTCAGAGTTGATGTGTCACTGTGCACAAAAAGTATTAAGCTCGTGTTTGTTTTATAAATCACTTAGGGAAAAGCCAGGCAGAAGTAAGGAGTTCGAGAACTGCTTGACTCAAAGGCATCTGATTTGCCTTGGTAACATGAAAATATTTTGAAGTTTGTTTTTAGGCCAGAAAGCTATAAGCAGCTTTGAAAATCATGTTAATGATTCCAGGTGAAAGAAGTGAGAAATAAATGCAAACTCTCTCTCTCTCTTTCTCCTCTTTTTCTTTTTTTCCCTTTCCCAGCAAAATCCAGTAGGAAACTTACTTTCCTATATTTAGCAAACGATGTCATCCAGAACAGTAAGAGGAAAGGTCCTGAATTTACTAGGGAATTTGAATCTGTTCTTGTGGATGCTTTTTCTCATGTTGCCAGGTATGTTGCTGTGTTACGTATTTCTTCAACTTTTCTGTCTAGAGATTTGCGTTCTTGTTATACAAAGTTGAATTCAGTTGGATTTTGTTGGGTTTTGGTTGTGTGGTTGGTTTTTTGGTTTGTTTTTTTTTAAAGCCTCAGGGATGCCTGTACCCTCTCTCTCGCAGAGATTGGATTCTGACTACTTTGCGGCTAGGAATTGTTCAGTATTAATGTTTCTTTTTGGGGAAACCTGTTTGTACGTGCATCAGCCCCTCACAGCTTTACACATTTGTTCTCTGCATGCAACTGCTATGTACTTTATTTTGATTGTTACCAAAAGACCTTGCAGATCTGTTCATGGGTAGTGAAATGGAATAGTTGCATGTGTGTATTGAAGCCACAAAATGAATGGCTCTCCCCCGTTGTTAGAAGACTTTAAAAGAGCTGATATTTTGGGTCAGTGGATTCTCGTCAGTCTTCTGGTTTGAGCATGGTTTCTTTTTGCATTGCTCGTTTTAACGGTTATCTGATCGTTAGACTTCTTGCTAGGGGAAGAAAGAATTTTATACATAAATGGGAAGAAGTGATGCAGCTACCATCCTATCAAAAATGGACTATCATTTAGTTGAGATTTTCTCTAAACAGCATAATAATTCCTATTATCTCAACTAAACAACTTTAATGTTCTGTGCGTTTAGCGGTATGCTGTTCTGGATGGCTGTCTAGCTTTCAGTGCGCTGTACGAGTACATTTACGTGCCTAATGATCCAAACAATCTGCTTTTTAATTGGGATGTTATTGACTGAAACAACTGTTTAAAGTTAATACTCTGAATTGTAAACATGTCAACTTGGGGGTATTTTATAACTCCTCTTACAAATTCTGAATGATAGCAAGTTTCTTCCTTCAAAACTTTTCCTGCTTTTACTTTGGGGTGGGAATGTGGGGCACTCTCGGGCAATCTTTGGTTCCAATAAAAGGGGAAAATTGGCCACAAATGTGTTTTGCACAGTTTGTCTCAGACAACACGCAACAGATTCTCTCCAAACACGCAAATATTACAATGGATGCAGCTGCTAGTTAGGAAGATGCTCTCTTAAAACGTAAGGAGTGTTTTTCAGCTCAACTATAATTATTTTCTAATCTTTGAACAGAGAAGCAGATGAGGGCTGCAAAAAGCCCTTGGAACGATTGCTTAACATCTGGCAAGAAAGGAGTGTGTATGGCAGTGAGTTCATACAGCAACTGAAACTTTCTATGGAAGACTCCAACAGCCCCCAAACTAAAGGTAAACGCATATTGCTTTCGTTGTGTGCTTTACTTTGTTTTTTTAAATTGGTATGTGTTTCACTGAAAGTACTGTGGGGAGTTGAGCTCTGGGCTCCTGTAGCGGGGTTGTTGGCACAGCTGGTCACGGAGATTCTTCGGGATTGCCTTGAGAGAAGTCTGGTTGTCGTTAAACTCGCAGTTCCAGTTTGAAAGTGTGTTGCCTTGTGACTTGTGGCTGGCAGTAAGCTAAACTTAAGGTGATTTCTGCTTCTGCTCGCGCAGACAGAATACGGCAGGGCCGCCTTTTGATGCGAAGACAAGCAAGCAGGGTGCAGGGAACTGTTGCGTCCGCCTTGAGAGTTAAAATTGTCCCACTCCACATCTCTGAGAGTGGTCAGCTGGGTTATTATAATGGTTTATTCAATACTGTTAGTGCTTTTATTCTCATATTATTATTTTTTTTTATTTTGCATAGTTACTGTATTTTATTATGACATTTAATAATTGAAGGCTGGAATATATGCCCAGAAGCTTGGCTGGTCTCTTTTTTTCTTATACCAGCTGATGTCATTTGGGGAAAACAATAACTTTGCATCATTTAATGTCGTTAGAACATCACGGTTATAACCTTATTATTGCATGAGACAGATGTGAGAAACTGAGTATAAGCCTTTTGCATTTACTGTGCTTTTATACTGCTCTGGCAGATACTGCCTCTTCTTCTATAGCATCTGAAAATATTTAACTGGTAGTACTGTAATGAAAAGAGGGGTGCAGTAGGATGCCTAACCTATGGAAGGTGAGGGTCATTAAAAATCCAGAGTGTTCCAGTCAGGGCAATATTTGTCCACTTTGCAGCTAAAGGAAGCATCAGTGCCTTCAAATTAGCTAAAATCACATTGCTGCTTTGACCAAATTTTGCTCTGTTCCCCACAGAGGTGCGATACTTTGTGAGAGAGTTGCCCTAGTCATTAGTAAAGTGCTCTTCTGCCGTTCTTAGGTAGGGAAAACAGGCAAGAGATGTCTACTGGAGTTGTTAATTAATACAGCATTAATAGGAAGATGTGAACATTAATGAGACATGCATGTGAAGACATACATCTATGGCTGTAGTTTTGTGTGGTTTAACATGCTGCTTCAGGTGAAATTACTGGTGCTTTGGCAGCTTACAGCAGAGGCCTTCCAACTTACCATGATTTAAGTGTGACATTCAGAAGGCATTGCCATTTTTTCCCCAAATGCTGGGAGACCGACTGACCTGACCGAAGGGGTTGTCCCTTTGTGCCAGGACAGGGAGTCTCTGCTCTGGGCGCTGGGAGAGGGGAAGGGTGGGAGGTGCACGGTCTCTGCCTGAAACGGCTCACATCGGGGTGTTTCTGTTGTCTGGGTGCAATGCGTGAGGCACCTGTTTGTCGTGAAAGGACAGGACTTACAGGCCTGAATTGTTGTTGAACTGATTAACTGAGGGTTTGAAACTGTTAATTGAAGGTACCTGGATGAGCACTTTTGAAACGCTTATTTTTTAATCTAAACAAAACGATACTGTGTGTCCAAGAAACGCAACTGCCATTTCCTGGTGAGCGGCACCCAACTGTTGCTCAGTGTCGTCCTCCCTTCGGCGGGTGGCGTCAATCCGTCCTGCTACTGTGATCTTACCAACTTAAAGATGTTTGTGCAAAATCAGACCCTTCTGAAGTGTAACAGACCTTTGTTTATGGGAAACAGAATGAAGACGTACAAATGTTTTAAGAACTGCTGTCTGTGCATCTTCACTGGGTGAGAAGCTTTGCTTTTGCCTGGGTAATTGGAGATATTAATGGAGGATCTTTTATTTGAGAGAACGGTTCAGGCCTTTTCATGAGTGTGAATATTGCTGCCTTCTTGTCAATTCATTGTAAAAAAAAAAAAAAAATTGATATTTTTAAACTAAGAGGAAAAAGAAATTTGAAAAACTCAGCAGAGTTCTCTTGAGTTTTTCCTCTTTGTTTTGACTGGCTTGTTTCCAGATGAGTTTCTTAATGGTAAGAGCTAGTTTCAATGGGATTTTTATGGATTTCTAAGATAAATTGGTGTTTGTCCATTTTCTGGTGGGTGACTATGTTGCAGGAGGCTTTGTTGTAGTTACTCCGTTCTGTTGTCAAACAGGTGAACGTAAGCGAGATGCACAATAACGTATCGTGTTTGACAGATATAATGTTTATCATAAAAGTGGAAAACCATAGCACACTGCTCCGCCAAAACCATTCCGGCTTCCTGGTTTTGTGGCACCCAAGGTAGACACAGCCAAGAAAAAGGTGGAATTAGTGTCTTTAGATTGGTACAAGGTTGTGCCGTTAAAACAAAATTTTGAAGCCCCTTAAGGGTATCTGGTGCTGTGATAATGAGTATTATTTTCTTCAGCCCAAGGTATGGCGACAGGTCTATGCAGGTAGTTCTCTGCGGCTTTTTCATGCTGCAGCGTCTTAAATTCCTGGGCCGGTGGGTGCTGCTTTCTGAACAGGATGGCTCTGCGGGGGTTGCAGAGCACCCGTTACGCTGAGGTGTGAAACTTGCCAAAATAAAGCAGAGGCCTGTATCAGTGAGGAAAGGCCGCTGTAAAGCTTATCGGTGCGTGTTTCGATGGTGTTTCCTTAGCCCTTGGGTAAATGTACAGCAGTTCACTTGGCAGCGTGTGCCAAGTTCCTGCCATGGAACAGAAGTGATTGCACAAATAACGAAGCTTTCCCTTCCGAGAGGTGGAGGGGAAAGAGGACTCGCCCTTTCTAAGCATTATATTCCCTGGTTTTGACTTCTCAGTGGTGCAGCTTACTACCATCTCTTAGTCTTTCAGGTTCCTTAAGGAAATATGCATATCCATGGAAACGAGCTTTTGAATATTGATATCTTACTGATATTGTTTTAACTCTAAATGTATTTGTTAAGCTTGCATTTGCTTTCTTGTTAATCTTATTTTTATTAGAATGTTTCTTTTTACAAGCAGTAGGGAAGAACCACCCATTTATCTTAAAGCCTGGGAAAACTAGGTCTGTAGAGGTTTGATGTAAAATCCTTTAGGTAATATAACCTATATAGCTGACATGTTTTCTTTTCATTGTCTTTGTAATAAGCAGTTGAAGGAAGTCCTTGAATGCGCTCTGATGTAGGAGTGTCGCAGCATCACACAACCCTGAGCTGCTACCCATTTGCTCTGATTGTGTTCATAGCGCAAATTCTGGCGCAGGAACTCAGAGCCATATTAAAATACGGAGAAAAACATCAGAGAGGAGAGCAGGCAGGGATGCTTCCAAGAATAACTGAAATAAAGGCACCTGGGGACAGGACTAGGTGTAATTTTGGGGCAGATCAACGCCAGTTATGCTTGACCTAGGAGAGGCTACCAACAAATGCATGTTGTAATGAGAACTTAAACAATCACGAGTAACCTACCCCCACAGAACCACAGGGTTGAAACAGTTGGAGGGTACACTGGGCCATGAGGTTTCTCTTATTTGGTTCTTCTGTGTCTTCTGGTGTTCTGTGGTGGTCTTCTGTTTTCTTTAGGAAAGCTGTCTATTTTTTTGTTGTTGTTTTCAATGTTTTGTCCTAAATCACTTTCCAAAAGTGTCTTTCGTATGGGTTTACTTGGATCTTGCACAAGTTGCTAAGCTGCTGGTGCTTGGAACCTAAAGTCCACAGAAGTTTAGTTTTAGTTATAGTTTTGGGAGACTTATTTGTTGTTATGCTGATTGAGAATGATAGCCCTGCCAACCTGTAAAAAACCACTTGTCGTGGTTTAACCCCAGCCAGCAGCTGATCCCCACCCAGCCGCTCGCTCGCTCCCCCCGGTGGTATGGGGGAGAGGATCCGGAGAGGAAAAGGGAGGAGAATGGCCCGGCCAGCTTTCCCCCAGTTTCTATACTGGGCACGATGCCATACGGTACGGAATAGCCCTTGGGCCAGTCTGGGCCAGCTGTCCCGGCTGTGCCCCCTCCCAGCTCCTTGTGCACTGGGCAGAGCATGGGAAGCTGAAAAGCCCTTGACCAGTATAAACACTGCTCAGCAACAGCCAAAACATCAGTGTATTATCAGCATTGTTCTCATGCTAAATCCAAACCACAGCACTATGCCAGCTACTAGGAAGAAAAATAACTATCCCAGCCAAAACCAGGACACCACTTAAGTTCAGCTGGTTTACCTTTCAAGTAACCTATAGAACTTCAGAAGTAGAAATCCCTGTTTTACAGGTTTGCCTGTTTATTCTAGATCTACAGTAGCTGTTAAATGGGTTTTCCTTGCGTGTTTCCCCATAGACAGAAGTTTCTGCTCGTGCAGCTTGTCATGTAGCTGTATGCTTAACTGTCAGAAAAGGCACCTGATGTAGCTGTGCTGAGACTGATAAATCCTCATGTGAATTAAGGACTACTTGGCTTGGTTTTTTTTAAATCTGAACCCTTGGCGTAGTTCCTTCCAGTGAAAGGCATTATCTACATGGGGAGTTCCTTACCGTGTGGTGTGGCTGCTTCTTGAATGAGGAGATGAAGGTAACAAAGTCCTCATGAGAGAAGATGATAATTTTATATTGCCTTGAGATTAAAAAAAACAACACATAAACCCACTGTTTTTAACAGAGAAAGTTTTAAACTCCTAGTTATCCTTTTGAATGTGTGTATACAGATTCCACAGTTGGTTTCTCTTTACTGTGCGTGTGAGCCTGGAGTCAAATCAAAGAAGCCTATTTACCTCTAAAAGCAGTCATCAAGAGATGAGAACAAAAAGGTGAGCACCCTAGATGGGAAGATCTCCTGTGTTGCCGGCTTACGGGAAAAACTCATACTTCGTCACTAAGGTCTTTGACGCTGTAAGCTTCCTCAAGCCACCGGAGATGGTTTGAAGACTGAAAAGTTGGTGGAGAAATACCTTTACGAGTCTCTCTGGACACTGCAACAGCACGATAACAACAACCTGGAGTTTCACTGCAAAGCTGTTATGATGGCAGTTGTCTGTCATTTTGGAGGAATGAAGTGCTTTGCTCTTTGAAGGCTTTTAGGGAGTAGTTCAGTTTCTGAGCTGTGAGGAAGACTCCAGTGAAGCGGGAAAGCTGACTTCATCTCTAGTAGTGGCTTCTCTGTCGTCTTCATGTTCTTGTCAAGAATGGGCTCTTGATTTTCCTGGAAGAAGCTGTCCCATGTTCTACCAGGATATCTTGATTGTTTCGGAAGATGTGTGTTACATAGCATTGTTGAATTCTGATCAGTTTTAGACGCTCTTAATGCTTGCTTTCCTCTTCTCTTGTTGGATTTGACGGGCTTTTTCAGAAGGGTAGACTGCAATGGTTAAATTACTTCTGGCCAGCAGATTTTGAAAGCTGCCCAGGCAGGGTGTGTTATAATTTATGCCTGGCTTCCTCTTCTCTTTCAGGGGTCCTTTTCCACCATATGCTCTTGAGTTTGAAAAGAAGTGTGAGGGTTTTTTCCCTGTTTTGATGAAATGGAGATGGTGTTTCTAGGATTCTTCAGTGAGGTCTTCTGCTGCCCCTGTTTACCAAGGAGAAAAGTGCAGCAGTCCACATCTGTGTCATGCTACCCATGCCCAAAACGCTACTTCAAAGCTGGCTGCTTTGCTGTGCTCCTTTGTCTGCTGGCCACTTTGTCCCCTCGGCTGCCGTTCCTGTGCTCAGGAGCGGCTTCCCTTCAGGTACGCCGGCTAGTGACTGCTGCTTAGGGCTGCACGTGTTCGTGCTCCTACCTTCTTCGGACTGTTTCCAATCAAACTCACTTGGTCTTGTTCAGACGGAAAATTCAATGAGCTCTGAATCCTCTGTGTTAGAGTAGTAAGCAAGCATAATACTGTGTCTTGTGGTAGAGCAGTTGGCAGCACAAGTTCTTGTTTTTGTTTTTACTTCTGTGTGCACCACGGTCATGCACCCTTCTATTGATTACCTTGTGTTTATCCTTGGTTGGTTAATTACCTTATGATATCACAGACAAGTGATAAATATCGATGGCACATTGTATTGGGCTGTGTAACTTTAAATGCTCTCTCTGGCCATTTTGTCACCTGCACATCTCCCGTTGAACTCCGCTCTTGCGGAGCTCACTGCACAGCAGCCGTTTTTCTTGTTGATCTGGCATCTTGCTTGTCACTCAGATTATCAAGCACTCTTACAGCAGTTGTACGCATACCGTGCTTAGGCTGTACCTTTTTCTAGCCTAGATAGCTTTACTCTAGCACGCATCAAAAATTCATTTGGTTTAGGGTAACTGTTTTCCGTGCTTCTTTGCCTTCCATTGAGTAAATCTGTTCTCTAACAGTGATGCGTTTGTGTCTACCTCATGAGGGTCGTTCAGCTTTTCCCCGCATGAGCAGGATTACAGCACCTCTGACTTTGTCTCCATTAGAATAAGATTTTTCAGACATATGTCCCATCTGACAAGGCAGGCAAAATTCTGCGTTTAAGGACAGACCTTTCTGTTTGTTTCCTTATTAGAGTTGGGCAGACTGATTTCATTTTAAATCAAGAGTGATCTTGGATTTTCCTGTGAATCAAAGTATTTACGAAATGTTTCCCTTGAACTCCATGATTATCTCGGCAAGACTTGATTCCACTGAAGAGATGTTCTCATGACTCTGTCCAAAGCTTTCTTACAAATTACCCTGGCTCTTGCGAATTTTGGCAGCAAGTCTGAAGAACGATCTGTCTTCTTCTGAAGGCTCTGTATCTGGATCAAAGGCTACATTAAGACTTCTGACTCATTAAATAAACTGTCTCTTCCCTTTCAAGCCAAGATATGCTACGCTAAGGTTCGTTTGACCAACACTGTCTTGCTTTATGAAATCCTTATTTCTGAAGTGTTACCGATTACCTGCTTGGAGATCGGTTCGTGCTCTGCCCATTGCTGTTGTTGCTGTCACATCTTAGAAATTTAGTTCCCCAGAGCTGTCCTGAAGCCTTTATTTTGATGGAAGAGTGGAAGGTTGAATAACGAGCAGTCATTTAGTTGATTGTGGGGCCACAGTGAGCATATACTTGGTGCAAAAAGATAACTTGGAATTCTTCTGTCCATATGTATCTTAGCATCAGTGCTTCATTTCTACGGGTAGAAGTCCTTACCTGCATGCATGGTATTAACCAGAGAATCTGAGCAGGGTTGAAGACCTGCCATTTACTGACAGACAGGACATTTACTTGCCTTTCCTACTTTCAGTGTAGGAGGCACAAATGTGTATACAGTGCACGCTGCTGATATGAAGACTGTATCCTTGTACTTGCATGTACAGAGAGATGTGCGTGGACAAAATCAACGTTGCATTGCTGTTTTGCATTTGAGTGTTTGGAGTATGATGCCAACTTTGGAGTCCAGCTGTGGTTATCCTTCTCTTTAGAGAGCTTAATCATCCGAGCATCTGGTACGGTTTTTTTGAAGTAGAGGTAGTTAAGGTGGGCAGATCTGGCATCCAAATGAGTTGCTTACATGTGTCTTTAGTTGCAGAGGAGAAGAAGTCTTTAAAGCGGACTTTTCAGCAAATACAAGAGGAGGAAGATGATGATTACCCTGGGAGCTACTCACCCCAAGACCCCAGTGCTGGGCCGCTGCTGGTATGTGGGGCGGGCTGAGAGTGGGACTTGTTCTGAAAGCCACCTCCTGTGTGGTGGAGCCACAAGGTGGAGCTGCCAACAAGTGAAATGCTTTTAATGGAGAAATGTGGTTGGGGTTGAGAAGACCGTGTGAAATGGAACGGATTCCTCTTTCGTATTGAGACACTGTGCCACTTCTGAGTGATTTCAGGTAGTCTAGGCCAAGGTCGGAGTAGCACTACCAGTAAGAATCTTCAAGGACTGCCAGAAGAACAGACCATATTTTAAATGCTTTCTAAGATCAGTGTGTAGTCTCTCAAACCCAAAGTTGTAACACAGTTAAAACTTAATTTTTTTTTTTTTTTTTTTTGTAGGACATCTCTCTCCATGAGCGACTAAAAAGCTCAACCTTTGATAGATTTGTATGGAGCTGGTTAGGAAAACCAGTTCTGAATACTTTATTTTGAGGCTGACGTGTCAGTGGCGTGGAAATAGTAGGAATGAAATAGAGGGTCATTCTGACCATTTAAGGCTACAAAACGAACAGATACTAAACCACTGCCTATTTGAAAAGGATAAAAAAAATATACCATCCATTTGGTAGAGTGTAACCATTGAAAAATAAAAACAAATAACAGTTGTCCAGGCAGTAAGTGAAATTTTTTTTGTTGTTTTTACCTCCAGATGCCTTGCAACTTATGGTTTCTTTTACTGCTAAGCGTTGTGTTTGTCACTGTTGAAAATCATCAGCAGTTTGCAAAGTAGCAGTAAATTAGGTAATGGACTTCTTTATTTTTCAGATTTAAAAAATTATTTAAAATTTTTCAGTGTTTTTATTAGTTTTCAAGCTATTGAAATATAGTTTAAAGATCAGTGGTGGTGTTTACAGGACTAGTGTTCCAGTTTCAAAAACCTTCCATTAAAACTTCAGTGTTTTTTAAAGCTAAGAAGCAATACTTTTTCCTTCCTGTTCAGGGAGTCTGTCTTCCTCCTTTTTTTTTTTTTTTTTTTTTTTTGAGCAGGGAGGAAATACGGTGCCTCGGGGGAGGTCCTCTTAAGGCTGTCCTCATCCACATCCTTTTTAAGCTAGGGTACGTTTTAAGAATGTTCATCTAAACTGACACGTTTTTCCTCACTGCACTGAAACCAGCCGGGAGATGAAGCCGAGGGGATGCGGTGGAGCCACTTCAATCGCAGATTGCAGCGTGCTTCCAAAGAGCCAGTTGAGCTAAGTGAGGATAGCAGTGGCTTTGCAAAATCAGGACAATACAAAGTTTGCTTTAACAGGGATAGCTTTCATTGTTGTCAACCAGTTACAAAACTCTAAATCTTGTAACGATGGAGATCTGACACAGTTGTGCTTGGACCAATACAAGTTTGGTTTTGGTTTTTTTGCGATGTCAGAACACACCTTTGGAATAGAACGAAGGTGCAGGTGCACTGCTGCTGGTCTGAGGGAAAGTGTCAGGGATGCGCAGCTAAAGGATGCAGTTCCAGTTTGATGCAACACAGTTTGTTTCTCAAACTGGTGTGGTCACGTGCTTTCAGCATTGTCTTAAGCGATCACTTCTCCTAATTGGAATGAGAAGTTTTCCGCTGCAGAGTCTTGAAAAAAGATGATCCTACTGTAATTATGCACAAGTTCCTAAACAATAGGGTATTGTAGGCTTAGTGAATACTCTCTGTATTAGGAAGCAACAGTTTAAAAATTACTTGAAGAAAATATTCCAAAAATGGTTGCTGTCAAAGCTAGGCGACCTCAGATGCAGTGGCCGCATCTGCAGGAAAAGGCATGCAAGTTACCTGGTTTTAATGTTAGCTAACTTGTCTTGTAGACCGAGGATTTGATCAAAGCCCTACAAGACCTGGAAAATGCAGCATCGGGAGATGCTACGGTGCGGCAAAAGATTGCCTCCCTGCCTCAGGAAGTTCAAGATGTTTCATTACTGGAGAAAATTACAGGTATGAAACTGGAAGATGAATGACCATGAGTCCAAAGAATAACTTAAAAAATCTTTGATTTCTAAATAATCAGTGTATGGCGGAGTGAATTTCTGCTTTTGTGTCCTTGTTTTCTAGCTCTTGGGTAATTAACAGATAGCAATCTCATGAAGTATAAGTGACGATGAAATGTACGTAGCTGCTTCCATTTCTTTGGCTTGGACCAAGGCTTTTGTACGTGGAGAGCATCAGCAGCATTTTGCAAGAACGTAAAGGAAATAGGGCCAGAGTTCTCAAATGGATACGTTTTGATTTTGCACGCTTCGACTGTTAGATATTTCTGAGTTTTTATCACTGTGCTGAGTACACACATAGTCCTTGATTGCTACGGAAAAGGAAACTCGCTGCCCCCGTTGCTCTGTCAGTCTTTGTTAAATGGACTTTTGCAGTTCTATTTGAAAAGTAATCTTAATAGAAGCATTTAAAGGCTGAACTGATTTGACTTGTTCCTGGAAGTAGTTTTCATTTAGAACTCAAGAACTGTGACTTACTCGCTTTTTTATAGTATACTCTTACACTGTCCAACTGTGAAGTCTAGTGTGCAATTCGTATGTTTGCTTGTATTGATACATTAGGAATTATTCAGAGAAAAAAGGAATTTAAAAATGCATACCCTATTTAAATGTGAAAGCCATGTGATTTGTTTAACCGAATTCTGAAAGTACAGCCTAAAGTTTTAGTTTAATTAACCTGTTTCTAGAGGCTAACTTCATAGATTTATTCTGCCCCCCCCAACCCTTAACATCTCTGCAAGGATAAAATGCAGTCAATCATGTCAGTGTCTAAAAAACGCCATTCTTGGGTTATTAGTCCTGCCTGTTTCCTTTATATCCCCTGTGGTAGGAACTCTTGTTTTCCTGTCAAGCCAGAAGCGTATTTATGAACGAGATGTTATTGTACATGTGCCTGGTGAATTGTAGCCCTTCTGAAAGTTTTAAACTTTGGCCTCTAAATTACCCAACACTTTTGCATGTAGACAAAGAGGCAGCCGAACGTCTTTCGAAGACCGTGGATGAAGCATGCCTGTTACTAGCGGAGTACAATGGCCGGCTGGCAGCAGAGCTGGAGGACCGGCGCCAGCTGGCACGCATGCTGATCGAGTACACCCAGAACCAGAAGGATGTACTGACGGAGAAAGAGAAGAAGCTAGAAGTGAGTACTGATTCCACCGGTGCCGGCAAGCCGATTGCCTAACCAAATGCTCCACTTGACCCCTAATCTGCGTGTTTCTCTCAAGGGAAATGATTCTAGGTGTTTACATTTGGAGTAAAACAGGAGTAAGGATGTGGTGTAAAAAGTCTGGAGAAGACAGATGTGTTCTGATGTTCAGTCTAGTGTGTTTTCATACACGTGGACATGGAAGGCCCAGAAATCAATACTTCTTAAAGAAAAATAGGCTCACTTGACAAAGTTTCTTCAGATTTACTCTATTTTTTTAATGAAATCCCCATTTCCAAAAAGTCAGCCTCCCTTTGCCATAATTAGCTGGGGGTTTTAATTGGTTGTTTTTTGTTATTCTTTTCCTTACGGTTGGGTGCCCCTCATCTGCCTTGCCAGCCCCTACTTGACAAGGGGATGCAGTTTAAACAAGAGGTTCTGGTATCCATCCTTTAACAGCCACTCTTACCTACAGCTTCTGTGATGGAGCGTAAATGGGGCTGATCGGGACAGAGGAGGACCTGCCTTTCCTGCCGTACCTCCCTTGAAGGAGGCGGGCAGGGCGCCATACAGCAAGACTGCGCGGCCTGGCCCAGGCGCCAGCGGCGTGTCCTAGAGCCCGGGCAGGGGCCGCGGCAGCCAGCCGCTTATCGGAAACGTTCCTGCTCGGCGGAGGTTCTTTCAGCACCGCATCTTGGGATTAGCGTGGAAGTTTAATTAATGATTGTGGTTGTATGTCACTCTGCCATCTGTTAAACCGCCCCTTGGCGGCACGTTACGGGCTTCCTCTACGCTGTTGGCTGCTGGTTATGGTGAGCAGCTGCTGCGGGGTGGGACAGGGGTTGCTGCAGAGGACAAAAATCCTCTGGAAGGAGACTGCGCTGTAGCAATTGCGGGCTCTGTTTACTGTCATGGCAAACCTAATCCTCTGACAGCTGGGCAGCGTTGTTCTGAGATGAATTCTGTTTTGAATGTTTTCTTTGTCGTGTGTGTTTATACTAGAGTTTCTCCCCGTCTTGTGACTGTGAATGTGTTGCTTTTCCAGAGCAACATTTTTTCCCAATCAGCCAGACAAGTGCTGATGCTGCATTCAGAATTAGAGCGGATAGTTAATAATTCTGTTAGCTTGTTTAGCTGGAAGTTCTTCAAGCAGAGCGTCTGTCTCATGACTGAGTCATTAAAAGGCACTTTCAGACATGGATATGAAAGATGCCATAAAACCAAATCCTGTTCAGCACCTGATTTATTTGCTGAACGCTAGTGGAAGTCTTGGGTCAGGTTTTTTTTTCTTGCTTGCTGAAAGGAGGACACCTGTCTAGTAGAAACGTATGTGTGTGTGTGTGTGTGTATACATAAAAATATATATATGCTAGACATATTGCTGGTTACTTTTTTTAAAAAAGGGAAGAAATTGGTAGCAAAATGCTGCACAGCAGTGTTTTAAAAAGCCCAGAACAATCTGTAAGTTTGAGTCAGTTTGAGACTGTGAAATTAAGAAATTCACAGTGACAATGTTAAATTAAAATCTCTAATGCAGTAGCTGAAATGTTGTGACAATTGTGTTGTTTTTTGGTTTGGAAAATACCTTTTTGGTAAGGAACGTTCCTTGAAAATTGTAACTCTGGCAGAGGCAGAAATGTAATCCTGAAAATGAAGCGGCTCACTGCCTGAGCTGCTTTCTTGGTAGGAATAATGCTGTTGATGGGGGAAGCAACCTGTCCTGTTGCCATGTTAAGCATAAACACATTCTTTAATACGTTGGAAACTAAAGAATGATCTTATTTAATATGTTTAGGTTAGCATCTTTGTCATTCTGCCAAAACAAGGTGGCCTTACTGCTGTAGAAGTCTGGAATGAGTTGTAGGAAGTACCACTCTCTACAACGTACTTAACATGAAGGCAGAACTCGTATGCGTGTTAAATCTCTAATCTTAGCTGAGGGATATTGCCTGATTAAAGCATTCCATTGTTCTGGAGTTGCAGAGGGTTAATAAATAGTGGAAGATGTTGGGTACAGATATGGCAGGCCGTATCTGCTTCTCGGTTTTGTTTGAGCCTTTGATGTTCTCACAGTAACATTATTGATAAGCCTGGATTTTTCTTTGTAGTGCTAATAAGCATTTTAATAGAAGGATCCGAAATTCTTGTAGCAATTAAGAATGTGTTAAAAAACAAAACATTTACTCAGGCAAAGACAGAATAAGAAAATAACTTAAGACAATCTGATTTTACATATCTTCTCATTGTATGCTTTGCGCTCTCAAGGTATCTTTTTCAGAATCTTTGGTACTATTGACTGTAAGTTTTTTCTCTTGTGAAGTAAGTTTCCTGACTCTCAGATGAGATGGCATTTTTAGAGAGAAGAGGGATTGTTTGCTTCGCTGTCCTAATCTAGCCAAGGCTGCTGGTTGGGGAAAGGGGTTTCTGGTAGCAATGAGACTCAAGGCTTTATTTTAAGATGTGTAACTGTCTAATTTGGAAATAGCTCTGGATGTTTCTTGTATTTTATTTACTCACAAAGCAAAGTCTTTTGCTATGATAGCAATGAAAGTAGCTAACCTACGTGTTTTGAAAAGCAGCTTTTGTGGTCTAAAGAGCTACAGTTGTTTACTAATCCTATTAATAGTGTCCTTCATGAAACATAGCAAATTCTCAAAATATATATGGGAGCTCAGTGTATTTATGTCTAGTGGGCTAATGCGCGAAATCCTTTGCAGTGTCAAAACCCTGCAACACAGCTCTTGCAATCAGTTGCAGAAAAGCTGTTTAATTAAGGGCCAATATGCTGAGAAAGGTGGTCCTGGACAATGAATTACGCTTCAGCCTTGATACAGGCTGGCATGAGTGAGGACTGAAACAAGGCAGTGCCAAGAAGCACTGGTAATTTGAAGGGAGAACGCTGGCACAAAGCCTGAAGATCGTAACATATGGACAAACTCTGCTTTTAGGGTAGCAACTGAAAAAATCGGAAGTGTAATACTTAGGATTACTTTACCCGGGGCGGGGGGGGACTGTGATAATTTGATTGTAGTCCAAAAGTGCTTAGAAGGAGAAGGTAGAACTCCTTTAATTCTGGTAATTGGCTGCAGAGCAAAATCAGCTGGACCAAAGCTGATGCTGAACAGCCTGTAACAAGGCATATATTTTTAAGGGTAAATATTCCTTAGGTTAACTTACTTAAAGGTATGGTGGATTCTGTGGTTCAGCATTTGAACGCTGAATTTCTTTTTAAAAGATGCTTCATCTCAGTCAGAAGTCGTGGGCTTGATGCTGCAGCTGCTGCATGATCTTCTGTGGCCTGGACTGGATCAGGGGTCGGCCTGGCCTTTCATAGTAGTGGGTGTCAGGAGATAAAATCCATTTTCAGACAGGCATAGAAACAGGAACTGGTGTTGCTATAAGAATGAGATAAGCTGTCTTTGTATCTCACATGAGTGTTTAACTTCCAATGAAAGTTCTCTGATTTGTGTTATTTTTGGCTGTTGCTGCCCCTGTTACAATTACAGTCAGCCGGGGAGGGGTTTTGTCCTTCAGCACCTGAGTCTGCAGAACTTCAAGGGGAAGGGTTGTCTTTTGAAGTCGGTGTGCTCTGCCTGAACGTGTGGCAGGCAAGTAGAAAAAATGCAGGAGCTCAATTTGTGTAAAACTAAAACGTAGGGGGGAGGTATCTGGGGGAACATTTCCATGTTGGTGTACCAGGTGGCTGTAACATGAAGTCAACCAAATAGATGGAACTAGAAGAACCAAGTGGAAGTAGTGCTAGAAAATGGCAAATTGTGTGGAAGCTTTATGGTTGTCTGAAAGAACTAGTGACAAGAGAAAATTTGGAGTTAGCCGAGGGAGGGTTATTTTAATCTAGTGGGGAGAAGCAGCAAAAAAAAAGAAAAGAGAGGAGAATGTGCATTCAGCATTTTTGTTTTGACTTGCAGTCAATGATGCTGAGTTTTTCCCTGTGCCCTCCAAATATCTTCTGTACCTGCGTTTGGGAAAGGTGACATGAGGAACATACTATAGTGTTTACAGTGTGTATATATAGCACAGTGTGTATGTGGGGGTATGTGTATACATACGCATACATCTCTGTGTTGGTATGTGTGCATATATATATATAAATATAAAGAACATACTGTATTTAAGATCCAGTTTAGGGGAAATTTTCTGATTGTTGACTGCACCTGAAAAATTGTGACTTAGAATCCTGCTGAGAGCTGTGGGAGTTTTTAGATGTTGGTGGTTTTTAATATTCATGGCTTCAAGGCACCTTTAATAAGGTGTTAAAGCTGTGGCCATATGAATTTGCAAACCCTCTTTGATAATGCATCTCTGAAGGGTGAAGTACAATCTCACTTGAGGTTTTCTGGACTGCCCGGCACTACACATTTTCTTGAAATACAATTTAGTTCA